TCAATTACAAACATACTACGTATGTACGTACGTAATACAAATACAAATCAACGCACGCACTTCAGCCGATTGCAGTTCATTTGCCGTTGAAATTTGTTATTAACTTTTCTTTCATTAAGGAAAGAATAACTTCTGAATATGGAGAAAATTAATTAACTGGCACGCCCTCCACCCAAGTGGGCGGAAATACTAAATATGCTCCAATTTCCATGAAACGTATACATACATATATGTGTTCAAAGAGAACTAAAATGTCAAATATGATCCACTTAAAAAATCGCCTACTTGCCATTTTGTGCGTGCGGTATCGTTATGTCAAGCACTATATATATTAAGGTAACGATTGTAATAACACACGAGTGTGCTACTATGATAATACTCCTTTTACTTCGGTTTAGTTGGCGCTGTAACCGCCTGAACGCTTTTGGTCGAGTTCAACAAAGCACGCCAGTCGTTTATCTTCTGTGCCAACTGGCGCCAATTAGAAAAACCAAGTCCTTCTCCACTTAGTCTTTCCATCGCGGTGGGGGCCTCCCTCTTCCTCTGCTACCACCAGCAGGCTCCAAATTGAATACTTTCAGAGCTGGAAGCTATAGGCCTGCAAAATTAAAAGAATTGTTTTTTGCCATATGACATGTGGTATTCTATTTGGCCTATACACTTTCGAACAATTAGATTCCCGACCATAAAACTACTAAAGATGTGTGCTTTTATGACAATTGCTTTGAATACAGTTGGCGCCTTAAACAAAGCAGAACTATTTGCTTTTGCAAATTAATTTTAAATACCACTTGGAATATGAAATGAAAGAAAAATTTGTGTATGCAAATGAATATCAAAATTCATGCGTAAATTTTCCAGGAAGCTAATAAGTTGTATAAATTGAATTTGTGGACAAAAATTCGAAGAGCAAATATTGAATCGCACAGCAGTGCTGATAATGAAGTTGGCGTTATTGGCCTACTTGTGTCACGATGCAGTCGGCCCACGTTTATATAATTGTGCATATACACAAATACTACATACATATGTATACATAAGTATATAAATATGTATAATCACATAAGTGTGTATGAATTTGGAAGCAGTAAACCAAATTCGCATCCAAGCAAATCCAAAATGCAAACAATACAAAAAAGTAAATACAGGCGTGTATGATAATAAAGTTACTTAGATATAGAAATATTACCAGCATTTTTTGCCAGACCATATGAAAGCAACAAAAAAAAATAATAATAATGAAAAAAGAAATCGAAAGCTTCTGATAGGCATTTAAGCATACACATACATTTGTATGTATGTATTTGTTTGCATGTACCCTGCAAAAATCGCGACTACCTAATGCATGCATGTAAAGAGTACTCCCTAAGGGACACGGAGTACACCAAAATTAACCATAATGCATATAAAAAAAGTGGTTCAATTAACATTGCGATATCTTAGGCTAGGGCCATATACTCCACAGCTCTGCATTATATCAGTGTAGCACAAAACTATTCCAACATACGATTAACAATGTCATTGCTGATATATTTTTTCGTATTGTACAGGCTTTTTTTCTACACTTCACAGGTGCTTTTTCATTGTTCGGATGCACAAGACAAAATTTTTTATTATCATTTTAACATTGTGCCTCTGACGAGATTCGAACCAGGACCTTCTAGAAGTTAGCAAATAACAGCGAGAATTTCTGCACACTCAGCTAAAGCCGTTCTGTAACTTTGCTTTCAAATATTCAACTGGAATAAATTTTCTTCGTCGTTTGACTTTGTTCTTCATTTCGAACCCAAATCTGTTGGAAGCTAACAAATAACCTCAAGCATCTCTACCCATTTAGCTACAGCCAGACATACAAATGTGCTTTCATATGTTCAACTTTCACATTTCGTTAAAACACGAGCAGTGATCGGGTAACTATAAGTTGGAGCAGAGACCCGAGTTGGTCCGCTGCAGCATGACAGAGGGGCACTTTGTAAGTACTCTAATATGCCACAAATAGACTACATGGTCCAACGATTTTTGTAGGGTAAGAATGTTACTTTTAATTAACCTATTGTTGGAGAGAGTAATCAAGCTGATATTTGCGAGCATATTATTGGGCTGCTAGCAAGTAGCGCCAGATTACTTGTATATGAATATATATATATATATATATATATATACATGGGGCAATCCATGCCGAAATGGATGGGGTTCACACTTCATGTGTTTGATTTGTTTAAAATATTTAGGGTTGATGGATAAACATAAATAATAACTAAATATGAAATTTGAGCTTGATTAATACATTTGTAAAAACTTTACAGCACAAAAACAAAAACAAACCGATTTAATAGTTTTCCAAATATCCCGAGAACGGGGCGAGGAAAAAATTTGAAAAAAATCACAAATACACACATAAAAATTCTATATGAAAAGATATATTTTTAATTTTTTTCTTGAAAAAATTTTCACATACAAATTTTTGATAAACAAAAATTAATTTTTGAAAATATGCCATCTCACAAAAAAAAAAATTAAAAAAAAATGTCAATGGTAGCTCTGAGTATTGCGCAATATTTAAGTATAGTATTATGTGTTGCACTCTACAATAATTTGAATTATGAATTTTTTTTTTTACACCGAAGTTGTGTAAAATGAGTACATTACAAATTTAAAAATTTTTAAAATATTTTTTAGAATTTTTTTGAGTATGCAGTTTTTAGCCCATTCAATTTTAGTATAATAAAGTGCAAGTTTTAAGCGATTGCAAAAGTGGCGTTAATTTTTTGTTTGTTTGAATATATTTAAATATGAGTGTCAAAGGATTTAGTTTGGATTTAGTTTGAAAATACTTTTCATTAGGTTTGGGGCACTTTTTGGGGAAGTCCTCAGATCTTGACCTGCAGATGTGAAATAACGTTTTATTTTTTGATGTATGAACTTTTGTTTATAGGTGCAACCATGCAAATCTGTTATTCACTCCAAAACGCCCAGACGGATTTAGACTCCGAAAAAAATTGGAATAATTTTTAAGTTTTTGGAGAAGGTTGCCACCTGTTTGAAATGTTAAATTTAATTTTGGCGAATGCTCCCATTCCTATTTCGGCCCAGGAACTTTTAACACAGCGAAATTTAAATTCTGATCTAAAATACTGATCCGCTGGCTGAGTACAAAATTCGTATACCTACAGCATTCCGTCTAAAGAGTCACCTTAGGATTGATGGTGGGGGTCAAGGTTCTTGGTGCTGTTATCACACGTGATGCAGTGCTCTGGATCAGGAGCCGTCGATGGCTCAAGACCGACCATACGTGGCGAAGAGTCACACCCTGCGAGAGGTGCCCCTGCTTTTTACTGAATATGGCGGATCTAGAGAGAACAACTCGATAAAATCCGTAAGTCCAGGTGTTAATCGGACCGTGCCTGCGGACTGAATGGCACTACGTTAGTGTGTCTTTTTACGGTGTACTCCAGTCACGTGGCGCCGTCTGGTTTTATTTAGTCTTTCCGGGGTACCGGGGCTCTGCCTCGGATGACCTCTCTCTTCCCCCTTACTCGTGGGATTCTATGGAAGAAAAACAAATTAATAAAAAAAACAATAAAAGCTCTGTGCCCTCTAACAGTGGGCAACAGTCAGCAGTCTCAGAGGTGCACGCGATGCCCAACGAGATTGCTGAACAAATGGCGATTGCGGCGGACGAACTGGGTGCAAATCCAAACGGCCAAGGCGCTCAACCCTCTCGGGACGCTGTAATGGACGAAATGGACTTTGATCCAAACGGCCTTCTCAGCAACCCGGTGGCCATGGATGTCGATACTGCCAAAATGGACTCTGGTTCAAATGGCAACGACATCCAAATACCCACAGACGAGGAGGAGGCGCTCTTATCGTCACAGCAGGAGGAGGCTAGTACTCCTAAAAGAAAACTCTCTGGAGCAGGTAAAAAGCGCTACAAATTCTACCTCTCCAGAGGTGTCAGCGAAAGCGAGGCCAAACGGCTAGCCACTATTCCGATGGCAAAAGGAAAAGCCGAACTGGCTTTGCTGGCTGGCATAAAGCTTAAGAGGAACCGATCGGTCAACCTCACATCTTCCCCGGTGGAGAACTCTCCCAAACGGAAACCAGGTCCAGCTGACAAAAGGGCCCATATGGGACCAAAGGTACCTAGTGTTAAGGCAACTTTTGCCGATGTCACAAAGGCGCCGACCTGTCAGGCGGACACTGGTAATGGGGTTAAGTTAGGGTTACTCCCCAAAGGGTACCCTAAGGCACTTTGGTCCTTAGACCAATTACAGGCCATTCAGACGGCCATCCTGGAGGAGGTGAGGCGGCAGCGAAAGGGCTCTGTGAAGCCCAAGTTTAGCGGTTGCACCTTCCGTCCGGGATGGATGTCCATTGGCTGCGGAGACGCTATAACGCTGGAATGGCTGCGCAAGGTATCCCAAACCCTGAAGCCTTGGAAGGGCGCGGAAATTGTGGCAATGAATGCCACTGACGTGCCCAAACCCAGTGTGTACGTTGGGTACTTTCCGGAGCCATCAACCACTCCAGTGGACAGTATCCTTGGCCTGGTCGAGGGTCAGAACGAAGGGCTGCGGGTAGGTAGCTGGAGGGTGCTCAACAGGGTACAGAAGGGACCCACCACTGAGCTCACTCTAGCGGTTGACCCGCACTCAGCGGAGACACTCGACAGGCTGGGATACTTAGCCAATTATGGATATGGCAGGGTGCGCATCCATAAAAAAGGGAAGACGACTGAGTCGTCAGACCCGAAGGGTGCGCAGCCTGCTATAGCCAGTTCCTCCTCCGCTGCACAAAGTGCGTGCTTCAAAGAGGGACCTTGCGGTTCCAAGGACGTACCCAAGGGACTGCAAAGGTTACCTTCAGAGCAGTCAGGGGCAGCGGAGAAGGAAAAAGCACCTGTCCAGGAGTCCATAGAGCGGCCCTGCTGCTCAGAAGACACTCCTGGCACGGAAAAGAGGGTACCTTCCAGCCCAGAGAGATCAAAGGCTCCTTTCGCCCAAAATCCCTTCCGTCCTCCGCTAAATGCGAATCGGAGACAAGGTCGAGGGGAGATTTCAATGGAGGAGAAGACCCTGATGGCCACCAATAGGGGGAAAAAGATGGCCAAGCGGGCTTCAAGGCCGAAAAATGGCAAACCCCCCAAGCGATAGGCCTAGGCACATCAAGTGCCTGCAAGTGAACCTCCATCATGCAAAGGCGGCCTCTGACGTCTTATGCAGGAGGTTCAAAACAGAACTCTTGGATGTCGCATTCATCCAAGAACCGTGGGTTTTCGCCGGGGCTATTAAAGGCCTAAACGACTGTGATGGTAAGATAATCTACGATACCACACACTGCAGGCCCAGAGCGGCCATATTACTACGTAATAACATGACTTTTGTTCCCATTTCAGAGTTGACACAACAGGACTTAGCTGCTGTATGGACTAAAGTGCCCACTCAAATGGGAGAACAAGAGGTCGTTCTCGCTTCAGCATACCTCCCAGGCGACAGCTGTGAGATGCCCACAAGGGAAGTAATAGCCCTAGAGGAGTACTGCAGAAGGAGAAAGCTGAAACTAATAATGAGCTGTGATGCCAATGCCCATCACTGTGTTTGGGGCAGCTCGGACACCAATTCTAGAGGTGAGTCATTTCTTGAATTTATCACTAAGAACAACTTATTTATTCTTAACCGGGGTAATGAGCCGACCTTTGTCAATGCTATAAGAGGGGAGGTTCTAGACTTGACAATTTCCTCAACTAGCTTGTCGACCTTTATCTCAAACTGGCATGTCTCAAATGAGGTATCTATGTCGGACCACCGGCATATTCGATTCGATATAGAAGCCCAAAGAGTAACAAACCATGTTTACAGAAATCCCAGAAAAACAAACTGGGAACTCTTTCGCCTCCACATAGAGCGGGAAGTGAATGGTTCTACCGCACCAATTTCATCCGTCTATGAACTTGAGGACGAGGCGAGAAAGTTCCAAGATGTTCTTAAACAAGGTTTTGAAGAGAGCTGCCCACTGAGAACCAAGAAGTCTCAAAGGGATGTCCCTTGGTGGAGCGATTCTCTCGGAAAACTAAGGAAAAGAGCCAGGAAACTTTTCAATAGGGCAAAGTCAACAGGTGACTGGACCGCCTACAAGTCAGCCCTAACCGCTTACAACTGTGAGCTCAGAAGGTCTAAAAGGGCTACGTGGCGTGAGCACTGCGGAAGTATTTCCTCTCTTCCAGAGGTGCATCGCCTTCAGAAGGCCCTTAAACTAGATCATCCGAAAGTCCTATGCACTTTGAAAAGACCAGATGGTACCTACACTGGCACCCCGGAAGAAACCAGCAGGCTTCTGCTAGAAACCCACTTCCCGGGATGTATTCCACAAGGCACATGTCCTTCGACAAACACGGCGAACGCTGTGTGCGCAAACAGGAGGACTAGAGGCCTAGCAGGAAGAATCGTCAGTGTGGAAAAGATATCGTGGGCCATTTCAACCTTTAGTGCATATAAATCCCCTGGTCCAGATGGTATCTTCCCATGCCTGCTGCAGCAGAGCTTGGGCTTAATATCAGGGCCACTAGTCAGATTGCTGAGAGCAAGTCTCTTACTTGCTCACATACCAACAACATGGAGTGAAGTCAAAGTGGTCTTTATACCCAAAGTGGGGAAAAACTCAGCACAACTCCCAAAGGCGTACAGGCCAATTAGCCTCAGTTCCTTTCTAGTAAAGACACTAGAAAAACTTATTGACTTTCACATAAGGGATAACTTTCTCAGGAATAAGCCTCTGTGTCAGAGTCAGCACGCATACCAGGCAGGCAAATCTACTATTACTGCAATTCATAGCCTAACTCAAGTCATTGAAAAGGCATTGCGGTATAAACAGATAGCTTTGTGTGCATTCCTGGACATATCAGGTGCTTTCGACAATACGTCTTATGAAGCAATATCGACAGCTATGATACGAAAGGATATTCCTGTCCTTCTAACGGATTGGATCATAAGCATGTTGAGGTCCAGAACCATAATAGCGGAACTAGGAGACGACAGGCAAGCAGTAAATGCCACCCGTGGCTGTCCTCAAGGGGGGAGTCTTATCGCCCCTACTTTGGACACTGGTTGTTGACGAACTTCTTGAAAAGCTAAATGGCAATGGATTCAAGGCATATGGATATGCAGATGACCTAGTCATCTACGTTGTCGGCTGGCATGAGGACACAATTTGTTCCAGATTGCAAGCTGCGCTCAGTCTAACGGAAGACTGGTGTGCTTCAAAGGGATTGTCAATAAACCCGCAGAAGTCCACCGTTGTCCCATTTACCAATAGAAGGAAAGTCAACTTGACTAAACCCACTTTGGCAGGGACAGAAATTGAGTTCTCAGTAGAGGCGAAGTATCTAGGGGTAACTCTGGACAAAAGGCTCAATTGGAACTCACATCTCCTTAACATTACCAACAAGGCTACAAGGGCGTTTTATGCCTGCCAGAGACTCCATGGTAAAACTTGGGGAATATCACCCAAACTAACGTATTGGTCTTTCAATACGGTCGTGAAACCTGTTGTCACATATGCGGCACTGGCCTGGTGGCCAAAAGCAAAGAAAGCAAGTGCGTGTGCCACCTTGAGCAAGCTACACCGCTTGATCTGTGTGGCCATCACAGGAGCTATGCGCACCTGTCCAACGGATGCCCTCGGTATAATTACAGGCATTCCTCCTCTATCTATTCTGATAGAAAAGGAGGCCTGCTGGAGCTCCATACGGCTGCCCAATGTAATCAGCATGAAGAGTGGAGATCTTTGGGGTCACTTGGAGGTTCTCAAGCCTTTTCTGGATGATCCCGCTATCAAGCTCACAGATATCATGCTACCGAAATTATCCTTTGATAAGCCCTACAAGGTCAGAATTCCTGAAAGGGACTGCTGTAAAGCGATAATATCTATGATTGACAAAGGGTCCCAAGTATGGTATACCGATGGATCAAAGATGGAAGACGGGAGTACTGGGGCAGGCGTGCTTGGACCAAGGTTCCAGAAAAGTCTGCCAATGGGCTCATACCCAACCATATTCCAGGCGGAGATCTTCGCAATCGAAGTCTGTGTTCGAGAATGTCTTCGGAGAAGGACAAACGGGGCCAGAATAAATATTATGTCGGATAGCCAGGCAGCACTAAGGGCCTTAGACTCATTTAAAACGACATCTAGGCTTGTGGACAGTTGTAAAACTCTTCTTAATAGCCTAGGAGCCCATAATAGAGTTACGCTGTGGTGGGTCCCTGGGCATGAAGGGTTTGAAGGCAACGAAAGGGCTGACTATCTCGCAAAACGTGGGGCCCAAACGCGAATGCATGGTCCCGAGCCTTTCTGTGGTACATCTATAGGATACACTGCAGAACTACTTAGGAGTTGGGAGGAATCTCAGATTGCTGCCCACTGGCGTAAGTCAAAGGGAATGAGACAATCAAAGAAATTCATAACTCCTTCCAAGAGGAACTCAGAAAGACTCCGTGAACTCAGCCGGGAGGGTCTTAGGACCATTACAGGCTACCTGACAGGACACTGCAAGTTAAGGTACCATCTAAACAAAATGGGGCTTTCTGTAGAGACGGACTGCAGGTTCTGTGGGCTGGCGGAGGAAACCTCGGAGCACATTCTGTGTGACTGCCCGCGTATCATGAATAGCAGACTGATGCACCTTGGGGAACGATTGTCTTCTCCATCCAAGATTTGGAACACGGCACCCTCCAATGTGCTTAATTTCTTGAATAGCCTAAGGTTGGAGTGACCACAATCAGGGTTTAGCACAATAGATCTTTTAGGTCGCAGCGCGAGTATACCCGACGTACTAATAATAATAGGATTGATCACTCTTATGGCGGCCCTAACAAAAATCTTGCATTACTTGCTCAACTTTATTTCGATTACGCGTAATATCTCACTCATCTATAATAGTCGTTTTATATCTTCCTTGAGCCGTAGTAAAATTTGTTGCCAAACATTTTTGTGGAACACTTTAACCCAACTTCAAACTTTTTTAAAATAAGGGACAAAAAGACCCAATGGGGTAGTAGTTAAGAGACTAAAATATTCTACTATGTATGCCTATATACATATATACGCCTAAGAAGGTAAGAATTTTTAATAAGTCGTCACTTAATAATTGTTTGAGCAAAAAGTAAAATCCTTAGCTGACTGCTAAAAAAAAAATAAAAATATAAAAACGGTTAACTGAAAGATGAAAGTACATCTGCGTGAGCGTGAATATTGGCATGCCTGTCTTGTGGTTAAAAAAAATTTCACGAATTCAAAAATAGCATTTGTTTTAGAACTCCAAAAATTAAAACTTCTACAATATTATTCATACTATTTTTTGCAAAAATATTTGCTTGCACAAGTAATTTTTTCTCTTTGTTAAATCCAGATAAGAGCACTAGACTTAAATAGCTTTCATATGCAAATCAAGTGACTAACAAGAAATTCAGTTATCTGAATGCTGCAAATACTTGAGAGTGTCACGATTTCACTACAATAAACAAAATTAACCTACCTTAATTTGCAACCAACTATATCTTTTTGAGCATGCCATTTATTCCGCCAATGAAGATTTATAATGTTTTCATATAGCCATAAGTGATCTCTTTTTTATTCAAAGTCGCCAACGAAATATATGGCGCCAAACTAAGATCGAGTTATGTGTGCTATTATTCACTATCTTCAATATTTAAGTGTATTCGAAAAAATTTAAAGAAAAACAGCATTTAATTAACACTTCCTCTGAAATTCAGTTGCACAATAAGACGAGCTTGTTTATACGTAAATATGTACATAAAATTACATTCAAATACCGAATCTTTTGTTGACTTTCAAGAATTTCGACGCTATTCATTCGTGAACTTCTGTATAATATGTTTGTATACATACTTATATGTAAGTATAAGCTCTTAGTAAGCGTAAGCGGCGATTGTGTTAAAGACATCTATTTATCTTGATTGCAAATAATGACACTCGCTCGCTTCCTCAATACTGGACTCAAGCGCGCGTTTTCTCACCGAGCGCCAATTTCATTCAGTATTCACAAAAAAATGTTTGATGTCGCTTAGTTCCCAAACGATTTGTGCCGCGTTATTCATTAAACCCCGTAGGACATACATTAAGCTTACATATTTTTTTTAAAGACATTTGGGCTTACGGTTCAAAGGTTTCGAGCGCATATTTAAAATTTTACCAATGTCCGCTTCGAAATTATCAAAATTCTTCTGTGCACATCTCATTTCCAATGTTACATCTCCGTATTATGTGGGTAATGAACTTCTGCCATCGGCCCACTAGCCAATGAGCTGCCTCGGCTACGAATACGGCAGCGTTTCCAATTTCGCAATCTGTGCTTTCGTCATTTGTGCCAAAACTGAATAAACTCATGCAGTCGACTGACTGACAAGCGTTGATTGATCTAAAATGTGCCGCATTGTTGAATTAAGTAATAAAACTATACGCCGGCTTACAGTGCAAATGTACATTAGGGCAAGACAATTTTAAAATTACGAAGATGGAATGATTTTAATACAATGTTTGAGTTAGTACAATATGTTAGGGTCACTACTCTTCTTAAGACAGTGTCACACGATTGGGCATTTGCCGAAAATTTGGTGCAAGTCATGTCCCAATCATGTGAATGCAGCAATATTTTTCTTTATCTCAATCACGAAAAATAATTTGTTAAAATTTTCTATTAGAAGTTCGCGGTTTGTACCAATCGAGTGACTGAAAAGAAAATGTCGTTCCAAAAATGTACAAATATACCAAACGTGTGACACTGCCTTTAGAAATTATTTTGAGGGCGAAGCTTCATGCATTACTTCAACAAATTTTACACGCTACAATACATTTTTATAAGTAAGTATACATTTTTGTCTCATTCGAATGGTCCCGCTCTAATGTATATGCATCTCTGTACTTAATTTTTCTCCATCATTATCGCAGCGGGTATATATGTATGTATGTAAGTAGCGCAGGCATGCGACAGATTGACTAGTGTTTGTGGAGGCGTTTATTAATCCCTAAAGAGATGACAATTGTCCAGTTAAAACCGACTTGATAAGATCAAATGAATTTTTCAATGAAATCTGTGAAAGCTTTCATAAACGAATAAGAATGTAAGTAGGTAGGCCAAGTCAATTGGACTGCAATGGGCTGTGATGGTTCTTTATGATATAGTATGCAGTTACAGTTGCATGACTATACTCAATCCCGACGCCACAGCCATGCACTGTGGGCAACGTAAGCAACCCCTGTGGTAGATGCAATTGGAAATTTCGGCCATACGATCGGAACGTGGTCGGTAGTAAAACCACACATCCATAAGCTACTTGGGTATAACCCGATCAAAGAACGAAAAACCAAATTGGGAGCTCTGTTCGTTTACGTCCGCTAAGCTTGAAATCAGATTAAAAGGTTAAATTAATAAAAATCGAAAATTTATGAGTCCTTGCTGCAATTACGTTCACCAGGCAGTCAGAAAGGTCATGGCGGAATTAGCGTTTTCTCTCTAACACCCGCTAAGCCAGCGCTGCGACAAAGAGAGTGCTCTACATTTTCAATTTCTGCATCATCTCGGCGCAACAGTGGCTTAAGTCATTGGCCGGCATGCCCATTGTACAAGCAAAACTTCTCACGAGGAGTGACTAGTTATGATTCCGGGTACTTAAATATTGAAGTATTTAACTAGAGGACGTTATATGTTAGGCGAACGAGTGAATCAGAGCTTTTCTTGTTCCCACTAATTTAATTTAACTTTTCAAACCTAGCTAAGCGTCCAAGCAACTCGCCTCAAAAATATTTTCGATGGTAAACTTTCTTAAACCTCTTTAGTTTGATACGCGTATTGCAATATTTCATTTGTTTTATCAATTTAATTTAATAAAATTTTTCAGGCAAGTTCCAAACCTGCTCACAAATATTTTCCCCAATAAACTTTCTCTTCGCCTCTTTAGTGTGATACCCATATTGCAATATTTAGTTTGCCTTATCAATCGAATTATATTAAAATTTTTAAACAGGTGGCAACCTTTCACAAAAATATTTTCGGCTTTCTTACATCTCTTGCTTTTGACAGCCATCCTGCAGTATTT